AGGAAAATGTGTGCCACCTGCCAAACAACAAATGAAAAAAAGATGAAAATTACAAGTTTGTATCACATGAGCAACTAAAAGAATGAGTAAAAATGTACATGAAATTAACTGTGTTGTCAGCAAAAAGTTTTTGTTGTTTTGATTGTTGCTTTTTTTCCCCCAGTAGTAAGGATTGAACCTAAAGCCTTTACACTAAGCTACATCCTCAAACCATTTTATATTTTGAGTAATGATCTCACAGAGTCACTAGGTTTCCCAGATTGGGCTTAAATTTGTGATCCTTGTATCTCAGCCTCCCTAAATGTAACATACCTGGTTCAGATTATTTAGCAAGAAAAAAACAAAATCACTGACCCACATTGAGGAGTCAGGGAAGCTTCACTAAAGAATGTGAGCTGAGGTCTTAGTGATGAGTAGAATGACTAACAGATGCTATCTCTCCCCACACACCGAGGAAGAGAACCCTTTAATGAGGAAAATGCTAGGTATGGTGGTACACACCTGTAATCCCAGCACTTCGGAGGCTGGAAGGAGAAATGACACAAGTTCAAGGTTGGCCTGGACTACAAGGTGAAATTATCTCAAAAAGAAACAAAATGAAAAAAATACATGTAATGGCTCTTGTGTATGACTCCAGTGTGTGTGTGTGTGTGTGTGTGTGTGTGTGTGTGTAAGAGAGGCGATGATGATGATGATGACGGTGGAGATAATGGTGATGATGATGATGATGATATATAACAGGACATTATACTTTCAAAGCCTAAAAGGTTGGGGCAGACTGAAAACAGGACAAGAAAGGTAGGTTGGGCCAGTTCACACAGAAGATACATCATTCTTTTTAAGAAAGATGGTCCAGGAGAATGGTATTCACTCCAGTACAATGTAAAGAATCTGCTGAATGGGCAGAAAAGATGCAGCCAGAAAATTAAACAACTATTACCAAAATCTGCACCTAAGATGATGGCTTGAAATAACAGGGTGGTCACAAGGAACACAGAAGTAAATTAATTTGAGACGTACTGAGGTGACAAAATCAATAGGACTTGCTGAGAGATTATATATAAATAATGGAGTATAAGGTTTCAAGTTATATCCTAGAAATCTATGATGCCTAAATAATGGCACCTCATGCTGAGATGGAATTAAACAAAAGTCAGAGAAATCCTACTTTAAGGGAGGGTGGAAGCAAACTGAAGACTCTGCGGCACAGAATAATGACTGCATCTACCAATCCAGAACTTCAAGGAGAGACCTGGGTTGAAGATAAATTTAGGAGTCATCATTACTAGAGTGGTGATTAAACCACTGTATGGAAGACATCAAGTAAAGAAGGGGCTGCAGTTCAATCCCCACCATGCCATGCTGGCCCCACCCCCAGGGCCCACTGAGAGGCAATTGAGACTGGGCATGATGGTGTGTGCCTGTAATCCCAGAGCTTGGGAGGTTGAAAACAGGAGGATCACCATCGGTCTGACCTGTGTAGTGAGTCCCTGTAGACCTTGTACTAAATACATAAAAAAAAAGAGAGAGACAGAGACATAAGTAATCACAGAGCCTACAGCTAAGTCATCCACAGTGCTTTCATCTAAAGGACTCAATTATTTAAAAGGAAAACACTTTCTGAAGAAAGTTATTTTTTAAAATTTCTGTTAACCAAATATTAAAATCTTAACTACAATAAGAAACTCAAAACCTGCACTTATTGAGCCCCAAATGAACCTGTTATGTTTTACTTATTAGAAGAGATAGCATGCCAAAATAAATAAATAAAATAAACACCCATACAGCCAAATACAATCGTCTTGTTGTGACAGTTACAGAGAATAAATCCTATCTTTTTAAATGGTAGTGAAGTCTACTTGAAAAAGTAAAAATGAAGAGCGAAGGAGAAACTGACTGCAGAACAAACTTGGGCCAAGTAAAAGAAAAAAAAAAGGCAAGATAAAGGACATACAGCAGGCTGTCTTGAGGAAAGCCATGAAAGCTCACAAGTTTTAAGCTTTAATTTGATAAAGGCGCCAGAATGTGTCTACAACATAATTAGTTAATCTGATTATCTGAAGAAAGAAAACAAAGTATTAATGGCAAAGGCTGTAAGCTCTCAAAGAATGAGGCTCCAAATCTGTATATTAAGATTCTTTCTACTTTCCCATTTTGTTGCAAGAAATGTATCTCACATTTATGTCACTGAGATATTGTAAGAGCTTATTGCAGAGAAGTTAATGGGGTAGTATGAGTGGCAACAAAATGACATACCACCTCTCCTCAATCCATACCAACATAGAGATTATACCTTATCTCTTACTCAAGGTTTCTTAGACAAAGAAACAGGATTAATTTATGACATAACAGGAAGACACACTGAAATAGCTCATGCCTCTCAATATTCTGCACTGCTTTCTCAGGCTCAATTGTCCTTACAGTCTCCCCAAAAACAAGGAGTGGAACTAAAATTAGTCAGCTGAGACTATATTCTTATTGTTGTTGTTTATGTATTTAGTACAGGGTCTACAGGATTTCACTACGTTGATCAGACTCGTAGTAATCTCTCCATTTTCAGCCTCCCAAGAGCTGGGATAATAGGCCTGCACCACCACAGTCTCAATTGCTGTCTCAGCACACCCCGGGGGCGGGGCCAGAACAGCTTGTCGTGCTGGGACTTGAACCCTGGCCCCTGCGCTCTGCCTAAGCAGGTGCTTTTTTTTTTTTTTTGCTCCGAATGCCTTCAGGGCAGGTTTGGCTGGCTGGAATGTTGTGGGGATCGAACTACAGCAACCTGAGGCTGACGGCTTTGTGGACGCAGCCACTTAAAGGACTGAGCTAGGGCCAGGCCCCTAAGCAGGTGCTTTAATCTGCTAAACTATCTGGCGGGCCCTAGACTATTCTGCACACTTATAGTCTTCAAACTATGGTATGCACAAGTATGTTATGTTCCAGGATATTCAAATAAACAGGATAAAAACTAATACAGCTGCCTCATATTACATTTATGTGACAATCTAGAAGGGAAAGGCTGTGAACATAAATGGCAATATAGTGTAAAACACAAACCGTCCCATGAATTCCTATGATAAAACTTATGAGTGAACTGTTCTGAATGCTACCCATAAGACTAGGGAAGGGGAAGCTGAGTAGTGTATGTGTTCACTCTCTTCTACTGTCACTGGGAAAAATAAGAAACACCTGTCATAATCCATTTACCATGCCAGGATTCATTAATCAAGACACATCAACTTATCACGTGCAACCTTTTTACTCTACTCTAGAACCCAGTCCAAGTCTTTATCACCTCAAACGGGGGCAGTGCAAAAGCTTGTCTGAGGGCAAAGGGTATATAGGTTCTTGCTATCCCAACCATCACAGATCATGCTGCTTTCATACACCTACACCACCAAACTAAATACCATGAGTAACAATGGCTGCCATCAAGTACCTATTATGATAAAGTGCTTTTACAACCACTGTCTCTTTTAATCACTTGTAACAGCACTACTTTTACAGAGAGAGCTAAGACTAAGATTAAACTATCCAGTGAACTAAAATAAATACCTGAGTTGGGACTTCTGCCCATGTCTGACTCAAAAGCCTATTTTGCTATTTATGTGTTCAGAAGATACTGTCCCAGTCACTGTATTAAACATTCAGGGCATATACTTTCAATCTTAGTTCAACTATGTTCAAAATAGGAAAACAAAACAAAATGAAATAAAACTGAAGACCCTCCACTGAAAAATATTCTGCAGCTAAGCACTTACTTCCCCCAACTAAGCTCTCACAAAATTCTGGCTCATATAATTCATCTCACTCTACAAAGATCCCCACACCACCACTTAAAGAAACTCCTGTAAGGCTCAGCTTAAGCTATATATCCTGCCTCATTTAGATTCTTGATAGTTTCCTAATATATAGCACTTAAAATCAGGGCAAGGTATTTGTAAGCCACTTAATTGTCTAAAATTTTTGAGCACAAAAGTACACTGTAACTTACACTTCTTTCTCCCTCCCTCTGAAGTAGACATATATGGGCAACTCCCAGCCTAATCATTTTTTCCACTGTCTTACTGAGGCACACTTTAACTAGACAAGTATTACAAACAGTAAAAGGGTAGACACAGGATTTTCTTATATTTAGCTTGTTCCCTTATGGCCTGAAGCTGCTCCAGGCCTCACTCCTTAAAGGCAGTATTCAAACACACCCCACCTTACTATTACCAAGAGACCTAGCAAGCTTCCTGGGGAAATGAAAGCCACCTGGTATGAATTCCTCCCTAGCCACTTCAGAATTACATCTATATCCTCACATCCTAACCTCAGCTCTTTCTAGCTGTGTCAGCCAATTCTTCCTCCCAGTTAATTTCTCTATGAGGTTCCTGATCTCAATCTCTCTTTGAAGTTTGAGGTCTTTATTAACTGCTTCTTTCTCGACAGTCTAAGGCTTTTCCCCCCTCAACAAATGAGTTCAATCTTTTATCCCATCATTCATTTTTAAGAACGTATTCAGGGCCTTGCGACTGGAACTGATGGAGCAGTAGTACAAAACTGAAGCCTGAATGGTAAGGACTGACCAGATCTTATGAGGCCACAAGCAAGAGTGAATTTTATTATATCTGCAACAGGACGCCATTGGAAGATCACAAGCAGGGAACAACAGGTTCTATTTTCAAAGCTCAAATATACAAAAATACTTTTGGTCAATGTACTTAGGTTTTCCACCACTAAAAATTGCTTTAGAAACTGTTGTTATGCATCCTCTAACTTGTTACTTCAAGGTCAGGAAAATTTAAAAGGACACACTTCCTCAGGATTTGTAATGGTATATCAAACACATACTAGCTTAAAATGGAAGTTAAAATTACAGGGCAGAGCATGTGTGTGGTTAACAAACCCGATGAATTAGACTTACCTGTTGAATTTTTCTCATTCAGCAAGTAAGTTCAGAAATTACTCTTACAATTTTACTTCTCCGATTTTAAACTTCTAATCCAAAAATTCCAACTCACCTCGACAAGCTTCTTCAAAATCGTGGGTTATGTCCACCCAGCTTGTATTGCTTTTGTCCATTTTTTCAGGAACACTGAGCTCCCATCCTGAATCATCATCATCTACAGATGCTTTCATAACCATTATTACTGTAAAATGAACACTGGTGTAAAAGAGAGGTTGTAGTTTTCAGGCCAAAAATATTTGCAAAACTGTGTGTTTAAGTATCAAGTGAAAGACTTACTAAACTCTTTAAGCAGAATACTTCTGAGTCTGAGGATGGTCCTGCAAAAAACTACCTCAATATAATTAAATCTCATACCAACACTACTGTGCCTCACTTACGTCCACCACCTACCACGGCTCACACTGTGCTTTCCTACTATTTAAAAATAAAATGAAAAATCACAAGCCATCCCACCACTGTCCTAAAAAGAACCAACTCCTGTGACTCTAACTTTCAATACTGGCCGTGAATGGCCCAGGAGAGGACGACCATCAGGGCACCCTCTCGCAGCTCAGCA